CGACATCATGGACACTCCTTACGTCCGCTCACCCATGGCGACAGAAAGAGCGCTCGACCTGGAGAGGTGATAGGCAAGCTGCTAGGAGAGGAATGGTGAATACCGAGCCGAAGCACTGAAAAGGGGCGCTCAAGGCTGAAGAGACACAAACGAGATCCACATCTCCCCATCTCGAGAAAGTGAGCCGTGTGACAGGCGACGCTGTCAAAAACCCTTTTGCACGATTCAGATACCCACTCGAAAACATGTCGCACATCAAGACGGCGCTGATTACTGGCTCCACAGATCCAAAAGCTCTAGGTTTTACCGCTGCGCTTGTCTTGGCAAAGGCGCACAACTTCAACGTCATTCTATCGGGCCGCAAGAAGCCGGCAGTGGATGAAGCCGTCCAGCTACTTCGCACAAAGCTCTCTGAGAACGCCGCTACTGGTCGATATAGCTGTAGGGTAAGACGGCTGGACATCTGAGCGCCTGTAGATCTGCCGCTAATTTCAATGCTTCGCCCACCCTTCGCTACCCCTCACCGTCCCTTTTTTGGGGCAAGGTGGAAGGCCTCGTGCTAGACGTGACCTCGGCGGAGTCGATCAAAAATGCCCTTGCAGTGCTTCACAGCAGCGATGGACCTCTCGGCGGAGACCCACTTGACGTGCTTATCAACAACGCAGGCGTAGGAGCTCCTCCTGGCCTGGCTGGCAAGGGCACCACCACCATGTTTTTAGCGACCGAAGACACTAGGGCCGTCGATGTTGCTACTGTGATGAACACAAATGTTGGCGCAGTTGTCGAAGTGACAAGTGAGAAGTTCAACGATGCGAGGGTCCAAGGGTGCCTGACCGCTGATATCGCCAGCTACACTGTCCTCGAAGATGCTCTGATCCCTTTTTTGTCGAGGTCGGACGCTCCGAGGATAGTAAACGTGGGGTCTGCTCGTGGCTCTAACAGCTTCGCTTCTGGTCTACCAGCACAGCGAACTGGAGCACTCGTCTACAATGCATCCAAAGCTGCATTGAGTGAGTACGAAACATGTTCCAGCCTAGTTCTCTGGCCAGGAGGTGAAAGTGCTCATCCGATCGGCCATCCACAGACATGGTCACGATTATGCAAGCCAAGAATCTTCCGGCTGTCGTAAAGCGTGAGCTTCAACTTTGCGTCTGCAACGCCTGCAGCTGACGTGTACTATTGCCACACATTTACTCATTCAGCCAATCTCAAAGTAAACGCCGCAGCGCCTGGTCACGTTTCCACGCCGTTTAACAGCTTCACAGGAAATAGGACTTTGGAAGCGGGGGCAGGCGTCTACGTGCATCTCGCAACGCTTCCAGAAGATGGCCCGAGTGAGTAGCCAGAGAGACAGTGTGGAAGACTTCACCTTTTTGATGACTGGACACTGTTCCCGATACCACGGCGCTTGTTAGCTGGCCAGCTCATTGGCGACCACGCGCCCTTTTCAAGCGATGGGCATTTCGTGCAATTACCCTGGTGACTTGTTTGCCCTAGTCATCCGAGTCCCATGCGACATCACTTGGGCTCCTCTGCATCATTCATCCGTTCAGTATCATGCCATACCAGCCAAGGAGAAATGCTGAATGAGATGGAAAACTCGATTAGCGACTACATTGCCGGAAGGCATAGGGCTTACTGATACGCATGGCGGCGATTAGCACGCATATCAGGAGCGAAGAAGGACGGGATGTTAACGATGCGATACAAGTGGATTTGAGAAGGTAGGAAGCATAGCCATCATAAGCTGTGTGACGAGCGCGAGGACGCGTTTTACAGCTGTAGAGCAAACGAAAGCGGTATGGCAGAAGACGTGCAAAGGTATCAACGGTATATCAACGAATCTCTTAATCCACAAGTTCAAGCCAAGTCTCGGGCTCCCATCTGCTCGGGGCTCCTGGTCAGGTCGCGAGACAGGCTCTCGGTGTTTGACAAGTCTCTACCCGTTTCCATGTCCTTTTGGTAATCGTCTTCGTCCCCTAGAACGAAGACTGGCTCTGAGGCAGCGTCAGAAGCCGTCCAAGAGGGTGCGCGCCTGGACACACACTCGCTCAACCGCAGACTTGCGCCCTTTGCTGTTGTCCGAGCTTCTCTGCGCATAGCTGCAGCCTTGATAAGAAGCAGTACAGCTGTCCACGCGAAGAGCAGAGCGATCAGGGCGATGCTGACATTGGCGACCGCCATGGCGTCCGCGTATCCTGCCCGCAGCGCCCACTGGCTGACCTGCTCGCTGCTGAGCATGAAAACCAGCCCGCCGCAAGCGAGAGAGAAAGAGCCGAGTGCTTCCGTGGGCGGACGGGAAGGCAAGACGCTGACAGGCGGCCGAAGCCAGAGGAAGAAGTAGGTCAGGCAACGCATGACCGAGAATCCAGCGAGCAGGTTGCCCCAAAGCTATTCAGGGGGAGAGGTCCGGCCATCAGCCCCGATGAAGACAATTAAAGAGTCGAGGTCAAGATGCTTACAACGTGAATTACCCGCTCGTACTCTATGTTTTGCGCATGTGCAGCCATCGCCAGCCCGGTCACACCGATGACGAGGGCAGGGAAGGGATTGAAAAAGCCGCTGTACGACGGAGGCTGAGACTGAGCAGCAACGATCCTGTCTTCTCCGTCAGCCGTGAATTGCTCGCAGCCATCTTGAGGGCCTCGAACTCTCCGGGCTGATGGATGCGCTTGTGCGGCAGAACGAGCAAGCAGATCCCTGATCCAGCGCGTCTCCAGTATGACGCCCACAAGTCCGCAAAAGCAGAACATGACTGCAATTCCGATGTGCTGAATCTGCTTGATCGTGTATGGATCTCCTGCTTCTGCTCCAAACCTCTCCATCCACATATTCGTGGAACCGTAAAAGAAGCAAACGAAGGACTCTACCCATTCAGCAGAGACTGCATTACGTTGCCACGGCGGGGCGCTGCTATCTCTAGAATTCCTTGCGCTGGGTCGTCGGTTCCAAGCCCAGCCGAGCTCAGAGTATGCCCCGAGGTATCGACCAAATGTCAGCAGGCCATAGGCAAAGAAGATGCCTCCCTGAAATGGACATGTACGGTTGCCCTCAGCATTTGTGATTGTGGGAGTGAGAGTTGTCAAGCTGACGACTCACCTTGATGCCGTGCGCAAGGCAAGTGTTCTTGTAATCGCCGCGACACGAGCCAGTGTACACCGCAATACCGGTGTAGACAGCAGCAAATGAAATCAGAGTAAGGGAGCGAGCAACAGTGACGTGCGTGTACTTCAGAATTGAACGCCACAAGGACGTCGGTGACCGTGTCGTATCCGCTGCTCCCGTGGACGTGGCCAAGCTTTGGACTGGCTCCTTGCTGTCCTCCCCACGCAACTTCCAGGACAGAAATGGTAGAGCTGCTCCGATGCTGTTGGCGCGGTTGTGCCCACCTTCGCTGAAGCTCATCTTGCGAGGAGTGTCGCATAAGGTGCTGGTCGGAGACGCAGTTCCATTGCCGCTACCACTCCCATGCGAGCTACCGCTGTTCATCCGGCAACCCCGACCCATGTCCTCGTGCAGGTCAGCAAAACGGACGTGGTGTTCGTACTCAGTGCGCAAAGATGCACGAGGCGCTTCCTCGCCTGAACACCTCCCCAGCAGCTCTTGCTCGTCGAGAGCGCGATAGGACTCTTGTTGTGCGAGTTTGCCTCCTACCATAGCCCTACAGGTGACAGAAATTCTTTGCAGTGCGGAGCCACTCGCGCCCCCAAAAGCTAGAAGAGTGCTGCGAAACGCCCGACACAAATCGCCGGCGAAGACGATGCAGGAGATCCAGAAGATGGCCCATCCCAGGCGGCCATGTGCGTTGCTCGGGTACAGGTTTGGGGTCATAGCCTTGTAGAGGAAGGAGAGGAACATGGATCCGCTCAGGGTGCCCATGTACAGCACGGCGAAGAGGGACGCGAGCCTCGAACTCGCAGCACGCAGTACGAGTAGCGTCGGCAAGAGGAAGATGCAGGCGAGAATGGATGTTGCAACGTGGAGGAGCAGAAGCGTTTTATGTCTGCTTGGCTCTTGAGCAGCCTGGCCGAGTCTGTTGCGGATGTCTTGCTCGATAGCGCGCCTCTCTACCAGATTGTCCGCATCTACGAGAGTGCGCCAACGGCCTTCTGAGACTCCCATCAAGTGTGCCTCGGATGACACGTTGTGGCCCCTCATGCCTTCGTTTGTAAATCGAGCGAGCTCGGATGTCCTGCCAAGCCCCCAAGAGAAGTCCCACTCCATGTAACTCAAAGGGTCGGGACCGTGCGATCGAAACAGGGTCGTCTCGTTCAGAGACAGCTGAGTTGGCCCGCCGTGTCCATGCGCGTGAGCGTGGCCAGTGATGTGAGGCCGCTCAGGAATCTCGATCAATGTCGATCCTGCCATCTCAGCCGATGGCACCATATCGATGGCGCTAGGCAAGTGAGTGTGATGGTGAATATGGCTCATGCTGCTTTGGATGTGATCTTCATCGTGCGCTCCATCCGAGCCATTGCTCGCATCGCCTGGACTCGATTGCTGGTGAGTGTGGTGCGAGGATTGGGCTTGGGAAGGAGCGATCGTGGAAATGCCCCCAGGATGCGCGTCTTCATCTTCGCCCATCATTTCGTGATGCACCTCTTCGCCTTCCTCTTCATCCCCATGCCTTTGCATCCACTCGATTGAAGCACCGTCGGACCCATCGCGGCGCACGACGCTGAGCGCTCCGCTGCCAGACGGAGCAGATACCGCAGCGAAGACGACCAGGGCTACCGCAGCCGCCACCCCGGCCCCCGTCCGTCGTCTCCGCGAACGTGACAAGTTGAAAGTGACTGCCTCAGTCATGCTGTTGCTACGGGAAAGAATTTGGCAAGTGTCGTTGCGCTCGGACAAGAAATGTAGTGGAAGAGTGGCTAGAGGTGTAGACTCACCCAGGCGAGCAAGAAATAGTCAAAATTTTCTTGCTTTTGCGAGACCTTTACATGAAGAAGACCGGGGAGAGTTGCGCACTGACATCCTCAATGAATGTCTTCGATTGCAGGCGGAGTACTTGGTCCGGTGGAGGAAATCAGCCGCGGCTTGCATGACTTGTCAATGCTTAGCCGGCTTCGGCCACTGACGACCGAGACGAAGAAGGGCACTGTATCGACCGTATCGCAGGACCGTTGCAGAAGCAGCAGGGTCGCCCCGATCACTATCGACTCAGGCTACAAGCCCATTAAGCGCTGCTCGAAATGTCGATCGGTGGAGGCGCGGCCAAATCGATCCAAGCAGCTTATTGGAGCGGGCTGAGCAGCAGAGCATGCGAGCGGTACGGTACAAGCGCAAGACCCCTGCTAACCCAACCCAACAGGCCCCGCAGAGCTTGCCCGGGAGATGCTAGTCGCCGTGGGTGGCTTGAGGTGACCTCTGACACCCCTCCACGAACCGGACAGTCGTGACTCACCCAATGCACGGCGAGGAGGAATGGCTTGGGACATTCATTGCATGCAAGCAAGCACGCATGCGCACGCGGGTCATCCAACCATCATGCTGTCTGTCAGCACACGTTCGGCCGGACAAGGTCCGAACGCGGCTCGTTGCAGCTGAGAGACAGATTTCGATGCAATGATGACAATTAAGGTGAGCGTGAATGAGGAGAGTCAAACCCTGCAGCCATGCCGAGCGAGCGACGTACGTCAGAAAATGAGCCGCTGCGCCCGCGTGTTCAAAGTGAAAAGTGCTGAAAGACGCGACGTGCGCAAGCCTTCTATGCCGCGGCAACGTTTTCCCTTTCGATCAGCCGCGCCGCTTCACGGTACGGTACAGCTGCGCGTGCAAGCGCGATGATCGCGATCTTCTCAATAATGACCACACTGCATACAGCCTCGGAACCGTATTTCCGATCACCTTGCAGATAGATTCATGCTGGCCACTGACGTACAGAACCGTCACTACTGTGCATCGCGCTGCAGTCAGAGTTAACCTGCTCATGGTGCTCGATGGTGGGCGGTAAGAGCTACATCCCGTCGGCTTCCGGGCGGACAAAGGACAGCAAGCATCGTTTCAGCTCGAGCTCCCAGCTCAGGATGATCACACTTAAGCACTGGGCGATGCATTTCTTCAAGCAGCGGGCAACAGCCAACGAGCTTGAACCTTCTTGGCGCTCAACGGAGCACTTCAATCGGCCGACAAGGTGTCTCGCTCATTGATGGATACCACATTGGTCCTTGCACATTTTCGCTTCAGCAGGGTCTGCCTCGTCGGAGAGCGGAGAAGCAAGCTTTGACTCAGACCCGCAAGATCCCCAAGCCTCTTCTGTGTCAAGCAGGTGCGTGCACCGCGCAGCAGGGTGCAGCAGATCTGCAACATCGACGCCTTTTCGGGTCAAACGACGGAGTTCGTGTGGCGTGGCGGGGGCAAGGCTTTTTTTGTGCTTGGTCTTAAGTCCGGACTCGGCCAGGCCATTGTTTAGCCGAGAGAAGAACAGGTCGTTTGGCTACCGCCAGAGGGCGTTGCGTTGTCGTGGAGAAGAGATGCGGGTCAGTCGTCTCGTCTGCACTTCACGCACCCTTCCATTGTCGAAGCCGAGTCAGACCGGAATCTGCCGTTGCTCAACACCACGTGGGACTAATCGACTGAGCTTCGGCGATCAATCAGCCTTGAGATCAGAAAGCATCCACGGAGAATCCAAGCTGCATCGCTTTGATACAGAGATTGTTTCGTACCGTTGGACATCTCATAAGGCCGTTGACTTGCTGAATGGGGTGCTCATGATGATACATTGCAGGAAGACGACTTGCACAGACCGTCAGTGCCACGCATAGGTAGACGCTAGGAATACAAGCTCGAGTGGGGAAACGCTCTGATCAATTGGACCCATTTGAGGGTTTTGGCTGCGAGAGTGCCGCGGAAGTAGACGTGCTCGGCGCTTGCGCTTGCGCAGGCGAGGCTGCCGGCTTCGCTGCGACCTTCGGCGAAGCGCTGAGGTTGGGCTGCGAGCCTGCTGGCACAGGTCTGGCTGGTGCTGGATTTGCTGAACCCAATAGGGTAGTCTTCGGTACGGAGGGGGCAACAGGCCTTGCGGGGCTCACAACAGGCTGAGCAAGTGGTCTAGGCTGCGTCGGCCTGGGAACTGGAGGCCTCGGAGGTGTTGCGCCCCCATTGAGACCCTTGCCAGGCAGGGTACCTGGTGGTCGTGCTCCAGCAGCACCGGCTGAGCCAGACTGCTGCACTGGATGAGGACCACTCGGTGTGGTGCCAGTCGGCGGCCGTGGGCGCGTGGTAATGGTGGGTGGGGGCCGGGACGGCACCGTGCTCATCAGTGGTCGCACAGCTGGTGGTCGCACGCCAGGAGGGCCAGAAGGGGCAGGGCGAGCGGGAGTTGAGCCTGTAGGCGACGCGGAAGAAGACGCAATGGCTTGCGGTCTGCCGGTCGGGGGTCGAGCAGCATTTGGCGGAGATGGTCTAGCAGCACTCCCCTTGCGCTGGAGCGCGAGCTTGTTGACCTGAGCAAGCAAATCAGCCTGAGCGGGTGTCAAGTGTGGTGCAGGTGCGCCGATGCCTGCCTCTTGTTGCTTCTTCAGAATAGCCATGAGATTCGCGTACTCCGCATGTGACGGAAACGATAGCAAAGCGGATACTGCCTCTGCAATGGTCGGCGGCACGTAGGTACCAGGTGGGCGCGCACCAGGAGGTCGCATGAGAGGTCGAGGGGCACTTGTCGGTCTCGGCCCAGTGGCAGGAGGTCTTGGTCCAGTGGCAGGTGGACGAGCGCCAGGCGCTGCAGGTCTTGCAGCGATGGGCGGGCGTCCAGGCGCGGTAGGTCCAGGTGCTGGACGAGGAGCTGCAGGGTTGACAGCCGCTTGAGGTCGAGCTGCAGCAGAGCCGGGGCGGACTCCACTGGGAGGCGAGCCTGGAAAAGGTCTTGAAGGTGTTGTGCTCCCGGGTCTGACGCCAGATAAAGGTGGCCTGACGCCGTTTGGGGGGACGGCTCTTCCGCTAGAAGGCACAGCGACGGGCCTAGAGGATGGAGGGGTAGCAGCAACTGGCGGTCGGGGCCTTGCTGGCCCAGCAGGACGTGATTGAAGCGTCGCGCCTGGAGTGTGACCTGCTGAGGAAGCTGGCGGGAGAGGCCGCGCCGGAGGTGGAGAAGCTGCACTAGGAGCACGCTGAGCTTTAGCTCCCATCTGCTCTTGGAGGTGGGAGACGAGGTGCGTTTGAAGCACTTGCAGAGCTTGTTGAGCACCTAGACCTGCGATCCTGTTGATTTCCTGCTCTGACAATCGACCAAAGACTTGAGGACTCAAGTAAAGCTTGCCTTCGTGATGCACAATCGGAGGGCCGCCGAACAGTGCATTGATCGAGCCTGCCATGGCATTGTCAGTGTGCTGCGGAAGCTTGGCCTCCTCAGGCGGCTTGCCGATCACAATGGCCACCCGAGCTGTTGAGGCCCGACTTGGGCTACTATGCGCAGCTCTCGACACGCTTTGCTCGCCAGATGAAGACGCGTCTGCGACGCCCTGCTGAGTGCTATTCGAGGTGGCAGTATTGCTCGGCGCGACGACACTCGCATTGGCCTTTGCTGAGCCCGGCTCAGCAGCTGAGGCTGTAGGAGACTGGCCAACAGTCGCAGCAGACGGGGCGGACACGACTGTTGCTGACTTGAGCCCAAGTGGTTTAGCACCGGGGCCGGCCGATACTGATGTGTGCCCTGCAGAGGCTACTGAAGTTGGTCGGGGACCCGCAGCGGAGACTGGCCGCGCAGCTGCTTGCGGAGGCCGGGGATACTGCAGAGGGCGCACGACTGACTGCGGGCCAAGGTGGCCACCCTTTGGCGTTACAGACGTCGGAGTAATGCCGTTCGTTGTCGGTCGCGGTGACTGTTGAGGAGAAGATGGTAGCATGGGCAGCTTTGCAGGCTTGACAGCAGGCGTGACAGCTTGAGATGGCGCTGGCTTGTTGGCAGCCTGTTGTAGCTTCGCGACATCTTCGGGGGCCATGAGCGCAGCCAGAGCATAAAAAGAACCTTTGCCGGGATCATCAGCCTGTCGCGCAATCTTGATAAATTCTGAAGACGAAGTGATCGCATGTCGGATCGAGCTCTTCCAGTCCTTTCCATTTCCTCTTGCATTCCGGCGAAACCAGTCCCACCGACCAGTCATGTAGTCGTACACATCTTGCAAGGAAGCCTTGCCGGCCTGAAGTAGCGCCTCGGAGGTGAGTGCTAACTTAATCAGCTGATGATTTGTCAGTTCTGGTTTGCCCTCACTATCGACTTTCGGATTCTCCGGAATGACTGCCGCGAGCGCTGCTTTCCCACTCGAAGTACCTTTGCTGGTCGGGGCGGAGTTCACAGCTGCAACAGGTCGACTAGTCGTGGCAGATGCAATGACCTTGCTGCCTGCAGGCGGCGCTGGACCAGCGTTTGAAGAAATCTGTGCTGAGCTTGGCTGAGTGTCTTCACCCTTGATTGTGTTTGAGCTGACCACGTTCGCTGTCAAAGTCGTTTGCACTCTGCTAGCTTCTGGCGCTGAGTCTGCTGTTCCTGCTGCTGCTGCTGCTGCTGCTTTGTCAGGAGCTGAATGCTCGGGTTTGGTCGTCGCAGCAGTCGCACCCAGCGCAATTGGTGGGCCAGCCTTCGTGGCAGCCTGCGATGTCCCATTCGCCTGCACAACTGGCTGAGCTTCGGTGGGCGCTACGCTGGAACCATAGGCTGAAGCGCTGGGGGTGGCTGATGAAGAGGCCTCCCGACCCTGAGCGGCCAGAGCGGCCTTCTTTTCAGCGGCTTTAGCCCGCCGTTCGGCATCCAGGGCCTCTATACCGATCGGGGTGCCCACACGCAGGGCGTCCTCTTCTAGCTGCTCTCCTCGCTTGCGCTTGCGCCCCGCAATACCGACGCCTGTCATCCAATTCGCGATCAAGCCAGGCTTGCGGTGCTTTTGCGGGCTGGTAGAGGTGCGTTGGCCTTCCTCGGCGTCGACCATGTTTGCGCTTGCTTGCAAAGCTTCTGGCTCAAGCTTGGTGACAGCCTGTGCTGAGTCTGCGAGAGACGAATCAAGCTGCATAGCTTCCTCATCTTCCTTCCGTCTTCTCTTGATGATGAGTCGCCTGCGCTTCCTTTGCGCGTCGTCAGGTCCTTTTTCGGATGTCTCGCCTAAGGAAGAAAGCTCAGAGGACATATCCTGGGAGTCTAATTCCTCTTCCTCTCCTGATAGGTCCGAGGGTCCGCTTTCCTCTCCATCAACTCCTTCGTCCGCTGATAGTTCCATCTCGTCCTGCGAGCCTTCTGCAGAGGTTCTGTTCTCCATGGGAGGGAGAACAAAATAGAATACCCGCTCTGCTATTTGAATTTTGATCCTGGTTCACGCGAGAGCAGGTGAGTGGTGTGAGCCACGTGGCCGCCCGAGCGATATCGGAGAAGGGGACGGAACGATGGCCAGCGCCCTAGAAAGCTCACTCACCGCTTCGACTGGAGCGCTACCACTCCATCTTTGCCGACCCAAACATCGTCTACGAACGCGCCGTTCCTGCCATAAACTTGCAACACAAAGCGACCTTGATGTTGTTTGCCAATGCTTGCGGGTGTGATCCCTTCTGGCTGTGCATCCCATTGTTGTCCAGGACTGTCATGTCCATAGACGGCCTGATCGTGCAAAGCTGGAAAGTAACCCACGTGATAATAGATGCGGGCATGCAGTCTCGAGATGGACTTCAGAGGCCCCAAATCCACATCCACGTCTCCCTGCACCTTGGGCGCCGAGGTAATATGAGCTTCGCCCGCAGCGCTAAACTCTGGGGCGGGAATGTGGGCAGGTCTGCGTCCAATCGAAATATCCAGCGTCTGCAAGTAGTATGAGAAACCGGGAAATTCGAGCTTTGCATAGGCTTGAATTGGGCCTGCTGGTGGATCATGCGAGAAGTCTTGGCCGGCGGACCCCTCCACTTCCTCCATTTTGATGTACTGATCATGGGGCTGGACCAGCTGCACATCCGCCGCGTCCATGCTCGGCTGCTCAGGTCCGCCAGTGCTTCCATCTATGCCAGAGCTGAGGATGATGTCCAACGGGCCTGAAACATCTCCATCAGAGGCAACGGTCTGCTGATGCGCAGCAGCGCTCGCGAGCTGCGCAGCGGATGACGCTGGGATGCCTGTCAATGTGGCAAGTGCGTCTATGCCGCCATTCGGTACTTGCAGTCTGCTCGTACCCACACTCGCCAATGTTGTCGGGCTGGACTGAGCATCAAAGTTGGGATCCGCCAAGGATGCAAGAAGCTGAGCATTCAGCTTGTCTGGGGAGCTCGGCTGATCAAGAGCTACCGGAGTCACTGTGGTCCCACTCGTCTGTTCGGACGCCAATTCATCTGGCCGAATCGTTGTGAGCAGGTCGTGATCCAAAGTGTGGGCGGATGTGGAGGCGATGGGTTGGTCTGGTGGATACATACTCGTATCGGCATGATCGGTCACGCTGACTGCAGAGGGACTCGGCGAGACTCGTTGTTGAGCAGAACTGTTGCGCGTATGAGTGGCCGGACTACCTGCAGAGACTTCGCCTTGATTCCGTATGTGATGTGGAGCGGAGCTGAGTGAGGAGGCATGCTGGACCTGTGGCGTAGCAATCGCCAGAGCAGCCTCCGTTGAGGACGTCATGGGCCTGCGATCCTCTTGATACACACAGCTCGAGCCACCGCTCTACCTGTGCGTTGCCTGGCTGGCCTTAGCTATGATCGATGTTGCAGACGTGGGGGCCCTCAAAATTTGATGCGCGGCATCAATTTGGTCGTGAAGCTTGGAGCAGTGAGACCCCAATACCGCCCACGCGAGTTGTGGTAATGCCGAACGAATGTGAACAGTGCTCGCGCTGCTGCTGGTGTCTATGTAAGAGGTGTCAAGCAGGTGCCAAGGAGCAGTGCAGGTCTTGGTGGACGCCGTTCGGGACCGGAAGGAGAGGCGAAGAAGCTGTGCAGCAAACGTTCCTGCCCTGCTGATGGGTGCGGGTCCTTGCTGATCTACAGCCTAGGTAGCAGTACCGCTGCTATATAGAGACCGTACACGCGCGCGAAATGTTGCGCGTCGCGTTGCACACCCGCCGAGCCCGCGCGGAAATTTGCACACACCAAAGCTGCGCGAAGGCAGACGAGACGCGAGGGCAGCATATGCAGCATCATGTGCATTAGCATCGAGGCGCCATCACCGCGTCTACGGCGGGGCT